TCAAAATGTTTCTTTCATATGCCAAAACAAGGCAAATACCACATCTAGTATCGGGCCCTTACTCAGACAGGATGGGACTTACATAGATGACGACAAGGAAATGAGTGAAATATTGAAATCCCAGTACGACTCTGTGTTTAGTGAACCACTAATCGGTCTGAGGATCGACGACCCAAATGATTTCTTCATGAATGAGCCTCAAAACTCCATAAATGTATGCCAAATTTCCGACATTACCCTAACTCCGATAGATTTCGAAAAAGCCATTGACAGCATGCCCATGCACTCAGCCCCGGGCCCAGACTCGTGGAACTCTGTTTTCATTGAGAATTGCAAGAAACCCCTCTCGTGTGCCATAAGTACACTATGGAGGAGGAGCTTGGACATGGGTGAAATTCCACAGTCACTTAAAACAACGGATATAGCCCCACTCCATAAAGGTGGCAGCAAAGCATTAGCTAAGAACTATAGACCAATAGCTCTGACGTCCCACATCATAAAAATCTTTGAGTGCTAAGAAGCAGGATTGCAAATCACCTGGATTCCCAAAATCTGCACAATCCAGGGCAACATGGGTTCAGGGCAGGTCGCTCCTGCCTCTCACAACTACTGGATCACTATGATATGGCCTTGGATGCACTGGAAGAAAATCAGAATGCAGATGTAATATACAAAGACTTTGCAAAAGTATTTGACAAATGCGATCATGGTGTAATAGCCCATAAAATACGTGCTAAAGGAATAACTGGGAAAGTGGGGAGATGGATCTTCAACTTCCTAACAAATCGAACACAAAGAGTAGTGGTCAACAGAGTTAAATCGGAGGCTGCCATAGTGAAGAGCTCTGTTCCACAAGGCACAGTACTCGCCCCCATCTTATTCCTTGTCCTCATATCAGACATAGACAGAGATATCATCCTAGTATCATCCTTTGCGGATGATATTAGGATCTGCATAAGGCTGTCATCTGCTGAGGACGCGGTTAACCTCCAAGAAGATATAAACAAAGTTTTCCAGTGGGCAACGGTAAACAATATGATGTTCAATGAGGACAAATTCCAACTACTCCGTTATGGAAAAATGGAGATAATAACTAGAACATAGTATACTACAGACTCTGGCCATACAATAGAGCGGAAAAATAATGTAAGGGACCTGGGAGTAGTAATGTCTGAGGATCTCACTTTCAAGGATCACAACAGTGCCACGATCGCACGTGCAAAGAAAATGATAGGATGGATAATGAGAACGTTCAAAACGAGAGATGCCAAGCCAATGATGATCCTTTTCAAATCACTTGTTCTCTCTAGGCTGGAATACTGCTGTACATTAACATCTCCATTCAAAGCAGGTGGAATCGCAGATCTAGAGAGTGTACAGAGATCCTTTACTGCACGCATAAGTTCTGTCAAGCACCTTAACTACTGGGAACGCTTGGAAGCACTTGACTTGTACTCATTGGAACGCAAGAGGGAGAGATATATCATAATCTACACTTGGAAAATCTTGGAAGGAATGGTCCCGAATCTGCACACAGAAATTACTCCCTACGAAAGTAAAAGACTGGGCAGGCGATGCAAAATGCCCCCAATAAAAAGTAGGGGCGCCATTGGTACACTAAGGGAAAACACCATAAGTGTCCGGGGCCCAAGACTGTTCAACAGCCTCCCATCAAGCATTAGGGGAATTGCCAATAAACCCCTGGCTGCCTTCAAGAGAGAGCTGGACAGATACCTAAAGTCAGTGCCGGATCAGCCGGGCTGTGGCTCGTACGTTGGACTGCGTGCGGCCAGCAGTAACAGCCTAGTTGATCAGGCTCTGATCCATCGGGAGGCCTGGTCGTGGGCCGGGCCGCGGGGGCGTTGATCCCCGGAATAACCTCCAGGTAACCTCCAGGTAACATGAATGAAAATGGTTAGGTGAGAGTTGGCCCAGCATAGAGCATGGGCCAACAGGCTTAGTGTAGTGTGCAATTTATCTTATGTTGGTGTGCAGTGACTCATTTGAGTTTGCGTGGAAGACAGCTCTAGCTCTTGGTCCTCACCAGGGAGGACTCGCACGTGTACTGCGCGTTGAGGGAGCCAGACGGATACACCGCTAGGCTGGCTGTGCTGGATGACTGTCCCAGCTTTGCTGCCGTAGCTGATTATGTGGCCAGCACACTCAGTAAGTGTCCCTTCCCCAACCCTAATCCCCTTCCTGCTTACATAGATAATACCTGTTTAAATAACATATATTAAGTAGATGTCATCTTTGAATAGATAACATCCGTTTAAGAGAAAACACCTACTACTTGAATATACAACACCCGCTAAAATTAGACAGCACCAAATTAAATATATTGCACCTGCTGGATATATAATGACTGCTTAATAAGATAGCACCTGCTTGAATAGGCATTACCTACTTAAGTTTATGGCACCTTTTAGGAAGGTGTTACCTGCTTGTTCCTACCCTCTCTCTATCTGCATCTTAAACGATGCATTTTATTACCTGGTTTTACTGGACACCTGTGGTGCCCAATATAAATATTTTGAAACTTTGATTTTATGTAGTAAATTGTGTAACTTCCACCCTTACCTTCCTCAGGTTAACCCGATAACGTTAAGCAATGTTACTTCCACTAGGTTTCTGGTGTTATGTAGTTGGGGTTTTTATTTTCATATAGGTGTTACTTGGTGTTACCTCTGGTAATATGTATTACTCCAGGCAAGTTTTTTTTTCGTTCTCTTTCAAACAGTGTATAAAAAACAGTCCATCTGCTGTATTTCTCACAGCGATATTATCTGCCACTGTAGATCTATCTCCCTGTCCTATATTGTTTTTCTCTCCCTCCAAACATCACTTCCTATCGCTTCCACTATCCATTTATGCATTCACTAATCATCTATGCCCCAGCAACAATCTATCAACTATCCTAGAGACGGAGACCAGCTACTGGGTAGGAGGGACCGACCTATTCGAAGAGGACCGTTGGTTCTGGATCAACAAGGCTGAGGTGGTGAGAGGAGCGCCCTTCTGGGAGACGGGCCAGCCGGATGGTGGTACCAAAGAGAACAACCTCATTCTTAACCATCGAGGTCGACTCGAAGATAGACACCCATCGGAGCTCCTACCGTTCATCTGTCAGCTCAAGTGATCTTCCGGCTCCGTTCTGGTGTATGGCTCAACAACACCATTATATTAAATCTGACAGACTTTATAATCCTCAATCCTGGTCGTCTACAATCAAGACTTTCTTTGCATTATGTGTCTTTAAACAAACTCTGTTCTGCTTTGTGTTAGGTGTAATTACCTATTTATAATTACTTATCTGTAGCTACAGAAGCAGAGCTTTCTTCGTGGTGTCCAGTCGTCAATAATTTCTTTAATAATTCTTTTAAAATGTCCACTGTGTGTGGAGTTATGTACTATTGTTATCGCTATTCCCCTCACTATCACCATCACCCCATCTTCACTCTTCACATGTGGCAGATTTCAATAAAATACATGCCTTGAATTCAGTCATTTCCTCCAACCTTATTACAAAGTTTAATATTCAAACCACTCGACATAACCTGTATCAAATGGCATATTTTGCACGAGACAAGGGTACAAGTTTCACACGTATGAGACAAGGACATACACTGCAGAATAACCTTCTACTGGTACATTTTACTTTGTGTAAAGCTTTACACAGAGCGAAGCGTTCTTCTAACAGCTGCGTGTTTATGTTTTCCCACTCAAGATAACACTTGCTAGACCAGCTTCATAACACCTGCTAAAATTCCACGCAAGATAACACGATAACAGTTATTCCAGCCACTCATAGCACCTGCTTTAGCCACTCGGTTGTTAAGTAATGCATGAAAAGTAATAAACCATTTGAGGTTCTACAACGCTGAAACTTTACCGAAAGAGGAAATATCCTGGTATTTTTAGGCAAAGAAAATGTTGAGGTCTTCGTCCATGGACTGATTTGAGAAACAGTAATTGAATGGTTTATTAAGCTAAAAACACATTACCTACGCAATGGGTATTAAGAGCAAACTCTAAATTACACAAAATAAGATAGTGAGATTGATTTTGGACCTGGATCCAAGAGAACATGAAGGCTAGGAAGAAGTACGAAAGTTGGAAGGGTTTAATGCAGCAGAGTGAGTACAGCAGCTGAAACTCAACTAGGTAAGTAAAACTGTTAACCAGTCTCCCGAATATCTTGCTGCAAATTTTGTAAATATTAAGAAACGTTTCACTCTTCATTGAGAAAAGTTACAGAAATCGATACATGAAGGGGTGCGGGTTTGTGAACTGAGATGTGTAGCAATACCTATGTTTATGAAATGGAGAGGGAGAGGGTTCAAAAATAATGGCAAAGACAGCACGGTACAAAGCAAAGTGATCACATTTTTATAGTACCCTAAGTTGGTAACCACGCCTCAGACACGAGTTACACAGCACAGCAACAAAAAAAAAAAGAAATATTTTACCTGAATAAAGAGGCCAGTCTTACTATAAAACAGTCGAAGAACAGAGCCAAAAATATATCTAATAAATGAAGCTACAGAAAGGAAAGTGATTTCTGGTATTGTTCAAATATTCATACCTTATTCTTGATCTAAGATTTGGCTGGTTGGTTGGTTAATTGAGTTTAAAGTCTATCGAATACACGAGGGTCGTTAAGGCTGCATGTAAAATGTTCACAACCAGTCAAGAGTACTGTAAGTCTTTCAGAAGTACTCACTCTGAGTGTATTCTGTTTAATTGTGTTAGAAATGGCGATTAATGACGATTCAAGTTATCGTTCCTAAGCCTAAATAAAATCTTACTAACATACACTTCTCGGTGCATATACGCCATTATGTAAGGATAAATGGTTAGTTTGATGGTAATTTAATCATCAGGAAATAGGACAAGTGTTTCTTGACACGGGTCTTAGTCATATGATGACCCGCTAGCAGGTCATGTCTGAGGCCTTCCGCTATACGGGTGCTTGTGACTCAATTGACAAAGGCCTCACCTCACAACTGAGGGTTCGGGTTTCAGTCATCGGACGAATGTAAACGTTGGGCATATTTCCTTACCGCTGTTATCCCTGTTCACTTGCCAGTAAGTAGGTACCTGAGACTTACCCCAATGGAAATAAGTCACACTGACTTTTTTGGGTTATCCTAGGTTCTCTACACATATGCTGCTATGTATGATAATTCTATGTAACTGTATTTGCGTATACCTGAATAAACTTACTTACTTAGTCGCATCCTGGGAGGAGAGGATTAAAAAACCCTAGTGGAAATAAGCCAGATAATCTGATGGCAGTGGCTTTTTTTGGATTATCCTGGGTTATCCTTTGGGTTAATAACTCACATAAAATTATCTTTTGACAAATCAGAAGAGACTTAAAAGTTACTGAATGCATTCCAAGAATATCAAAATGAGCTATATGACGTGGATCATAGTGAACGTACATATACCAAGAGTTGCATGAACCCTCTTCCCATTACAATAAATCATTATTGCAAAGATGAAGCCCATCGGGTGAAGCGTTCTCAAGCTATAAACGAAAGTCTTTAGAAAAACTAACGTAGTTACTTAAAGGTGCACCTTCGTAGATATTAAATCCATTAAGAAATCACAACACATGATTCCGTAGGTAATTTACTGTACAAAAATATCGTAAAAACTTAAAATTAAGTATGGAATTTCAGGAGCTTTACATCAAGTATGAAACCTCACATTATTTTATATTAATTGTGTACTTGTTGGAAATTCAACCTTAAAAAAAAAAATAATATCTTTCGTTAGAATATGTAATATTTTCCACAGACATACAGTGCCCATGGTTCAATTCCTGGCCGGCTGGAAACACTGGGCGTGTTACCTGGAGTTTATCTGGAGAGAGTTCCGGGGGTCAACGCCCCCGCGGCCCGGTCTGAGACCAGACCTCCTGGTGGAGCCTGATCAACCAGGCTGTTGCTGCTGGCTGCACGCAAACCAACATACGAGCCACAGCCCGGCTGATCCGGAACTGACTTTAGGTGCTTGTCCAGTGCCAGCTTGAAGACTGCCAGGGGTCTGTTGGTAATCCCCCTTATGTGTGCTGGGAGGCAGTTGAACAGTCTCGGGCCCCTGACACTTATTGTATGGTCTCTTAACGTGCTAGTGACACCCCTGCTTTTCATTGGGGGGATGGTGCATCGTCTGCCAAGTCTTTTGCTTTCGTAGTGGGTGATTTTTCGTGTGCAAGTTCGGTACTAGTCCCTCTAGGATTTTCCAGGTGTATATAATCATGTATCTCTCCCTCCTGCGTTCCAGGGAATACAGGTTTAGGAACCTCAAGCGCTCCCAATAATTGAGGTGTTTTATCTCCGTTATGCGCGCCGTGAAAGTTCTCTGTACATTTTCTAGGTCGGCAATTTCACCTGCCTTGAAAGGTGCTGTTAGTGTGCAGCAATATTCCAGCCTAGATAGAACAAGTGACCTGAAGAGTGTCATCATGGGCTTGGCCTCCCTAGTTTTGAAGGTTCTCATTATCCATCCTGTCATTTTTCTAGCAGATGCGATTGATACAGTGTTATGGTCCTTGAAGGTGAGATCCTCCGACATGATCACTCCAGGTCTTTGAGTTGGTGTTTCGCTCTATTTTGTGGCCAGAATTTGTTTTGTACTCTGATGAAGATTTAATTTCCTCATGTTTACCATATCTGAGTAATTGAAATTTCTCATCGTTGAACTTCATATTGTTTTCTGCAGCCCACTGAAAGATTTGGTTGATGTCTGCCTGGAGCTTTGCAGTGTCTGCAATGGAAGACACTGTCATGCAGATTCGGGTGTCATCTGCAAAGGAAGACACGGTGCTGTGGCTGACATCCTTGTCTATGTCGGATATAAGGATGAGGAACAAGATGGGAGCGAGTACTGTGCCTTGTGGAACAGAGCTTTTCACCGTAGCTGCCTCGGACTTTACTCTGTTGACGACTACTCTCTGTGTTCTGTTAGTGAGGAAATTATAGATCCATCGACCGACTTTTCCTGTTATTCCTTTAGCACGCATTTTGTGCGCTATTACGCCATGGTCACACTTGTCGAAGGCTTTGCAAAGTCTGTATATATTACATCTGCATTCTTTTTGTCTTCTAGTGCATTTAGGACCTTGTCGTAGTGGTCCAATAGTTGAGACAGACAGGAGCGACCTGTTCTAAACCCATGTTGCCCTGGGTTGTGTAACTGATGGGTTTCTAGATGCGTGGTGATCTTGCTTCTTAGGACCCTTTCAAAGATTTTTATGATATGGGATGTTAGTGCTATTGGTCTGTAGTTCTTTGCTGTTGCTTTACTGCCCCCTTTGTGGAGTGGGGCTATGTCTGTTGTTTTTAGTAACTGTGGGACGACCCCCGTGTCCATGCTCCCTCTGGGTGTTAGTCGACTGGAGTGGGTCGCATCCTTGGGGACAAGATTGGAGGACCCCAGTGGATATAACAAACAGTCCTCGATGACGCACTGGTTTTCTTGAGTTATCATGGGTAGCTAACCTCCCCCCCGGGGGGTTAAAAATCCGGACAAAATCTTAATGTTTTCTAACAAAATAAACACGGTGGCCCGGTGGCCTAAGCTCCCGCTTCACACACGGAGGGCCCGGGTTCGATTCCCGGCGGGTGGAAACATTTCGACACGTTTCCTTACACCTGTTGTCCTGTTCACCTAGCAGCAAATAGGTACCTGGGTGTTAGTCGACTGGTGTGGGTCGCATCCTGGGGGCAAGATTAAGGACCCCCCTGGGTGGGTAACTCTCCGGGGTTAAAAATTCGAACGAAATCTTATCTATCTTATCTTAAATACTTAATCAAAACTATATAGTTTACCTTCCAACTTAACATTCATTTTCTTTCACTCAATATAAAAGAAAATCAGTGGGACAGACACCAGTATTTACTATCTTACTTTTATCACGTGAAATACGAGGTCTCAGGTGCCGTCATCAAACCAAAAATCTGTTGAAAGACTTAGCTGTGAAGTCTCTGGTTTTTAAATAACCAACAATGGCTAACTATTTTCTCTACGTTCAGGAAACTCTCATAATTTAAAGTAAAACTTGTTCTCTAAACTGCATTTTAAGAGGAAAATTTAGCAATTTAAAGTTATTTCTTTATTTTAAAGGTGCTTCTTTATTTTAAATTTGCTTCTTTTATTGAAGCTAATTCTTTATTTTAAAGCTGCTTCTTTATTTTAAGAACGCTTTTTTATGTCAAAGTTACTCCTATAATTTAAAGCTACTTCTTCTAACTTTTAGAAAGCTTAACAGCTTTTTATATTATTTAGCAATAATATATTTTACTGTGAGTGTTGGTACGCCAGGTTAACCCAAGCCACACGGCTTATTTTACTGTGAGTGTTGGTACGCCAGGTTAACCCAAGCCACACGGCTTATTTCCATTGGGGCCATCGGTTCTCTTCCTCAGGGTGAGACTTAAAACAGACAACTAAGTACAGCACACAATCGACAGTACTCGGGTCGAATCC